CTGAACATCCATCACGGATCAATCAAGTCGATACTTGAACATCCATCACGGATCAACCAAATCAAAGCTAGATACTTAACTTTTTCTCGTTGCTGCTGGCCACAGTAACACATCGAATTTTTTTACTCACAGATCTGACTATCACATCCCAAGCGGGATATTAAGCGCACAGCGACCATTAACGGAGCAAGTTCGTTTTACGGAAACTAACTTGTAAACCGAAAATGCTCGTCATAACCCAACATACATAACGTTGGTCACAGTGAGATTGTTATCGGAGCGGATATCCTAACATTTCCGAAACAGGGAAAACATCTTATAATTAAAAAAAAAAAATAACGCCATCAAAGCACAAAGTCTCACAAATAAAGGCCATATAGGCAATGAGACAAAGAAGAACTAAAGCATTGAGAAAACACAGAGGTAAAGAACCGCTCAAGGGATATCAACTAGGATGCAGCATCTCCATCGCCGCCGTGATCATACTCATATTCCTCGACATCAGTTCCACTTCCGCCAGCATCAGATCTGGCACCAACTTCATCAGCGCCGGTTTCAACCGCATTTCCATCGTCGAAGCCATAGCTTTTAGTACCACCGGGTTCGCCTTCAAACCCTGCACCGATATCTCGGGCATCACGCGGATCAAGCAAGCACACACCAGAAGGNTCCCAATTTGACCCAGAGGGGAAGTGAACTCCGATATCTTCTGCCTGATTCTCGAACGGATTGGCATCAAAGGTGGAAGCATCATCGTAAGAGAAAGGAGAAACAACCAAACCTTGTTGAATCTCGGCAAACAACGCATTGTAGTCCTTGTCCCCGCCAACAANTTCCTCCCTCCACTCNGAAATTTGTGCGGCTTCNTCCTCCAAAGATGGAGCATCCTCGCGTTGGAGNTTCTGGATGAGCTCGAGATTTGCATCAACTTGGGCAAGGTCATTCATCTTATTCACCGNCTTTCCNAGAGNCCTGAACTTTCCCTTGGTCTTCTCTATCTTCGACTTAAATTTGCTCATCAAAGAACGCACAATCCTCTTCNTGGCAGTCTTGATCTTAGANTCAACAGAGCTTTTCTCCAGTGAAAGCTGGCCCTTGAGCGACTCGATTTCCNAATCTTTCTGGGCACCCGAGTCANGCAGTTCACCACAAGTTCTTTCCAATAACTCCATNTTGGCATCCAACACCTTTCTCTGTGCCACTTCGGCTTCCCATTTGGCTCGAGCCTCTTCGGCCGCCTGTTCGACCCGTTCAGCCTCCCGCTTAGCGCGACGGTCGTACTTACGTGCTATCTTGGTTATGGAATCAATGAAATGAGGGAATTGACAAGTATATGAGTTAGAAAATCAGATAGGATATAGAGAAGCTCATAAGGAGGAAAGGATCACCTTGGTTCCCTCGAGCGATATCCTATCCGAGACCAAAGTTCTTTCGGAGGGACGGAATGAGCCTCTTGCTCCGCAATATCGGGCGTCATCAGGCCACCCTGCGAAGCTTTAACCGTGTATTGCATCACTCCTTTTCCCTTCTCTGCAGTAGACAAGGTGCACTTCCGGGGAACCATGTTTCTCCTTATTACAGGCTCGGTTACTTTGGCAACATCACGTTCCGTCGTCAAAGAAGCTATAGATAAGGAACGACGCCCATGACGATTTCCAGGGGGTGATTCGGAGCGACATCCGGGATGATTTCCAGCAGAGGACTCGGAGCGACGCCCAGGAAGAGGGGCGGCCGCGACATCGACTTCCATGTTCTGGACGCTGCCTTCGGAGTCACCGGCCAAACGGCGTGCCTCGGCCTCCNTCCTTTCANGNACTGATGGTCTCTTCTCCATGGTTGCTTGCGACGAAGTGTTTGATGAATCGGAACCGACGAGGTAGCGGGCTCGAGCGTCCTCGATTCGTTGGAGAGAAAAGTCTTCCTGCCAATTNCAACGCTCGGATGCTAGTAACTCTGCTAGCGTGAGAAAATCTAGTGGAACCTTCGGAAATGGATTGATAACTGCGAACACAACAAAAAGAGATATCGTGTTAGATAACACCCAACGGATCAAGAAAACAAAGACACGACTCCGTTTCAACTATCCTTTCTTCTCCATTTTCTAACTATCTTATTGATCCACCGGGGACGGACTGATGCTTCAGTTATCGGGACATAGAAGAAATAATCAATCCAGTAACTATCTTTACTGGGGAAACCACTGATGATTGAGCGGTTCGCTTTAGCCGAAACTGAATAGATGAGTTTTTCCTTTGGACGAGACGCGCGGACATCTAGCCAGTTCAATAGATGGAAGACATTGACCTCTTCATCACATTCGATGCTCCTCACGAAAATACCGATCAAGTGACGAAGACCGCGGAGACTTATCTGCGCTAGGGCAAGCTGATACATCCATAGAAATTCGAGGATGACCTCCGGAATAAGAAAGAAATACAAGCACCAGTTCAAACAGCTCTCATACATGGTAAAGCAACCCGCAGGGGGATCCCACGCTCGATCCGAAGACGAAGGGAATATCAGTTCAACCTCCTCCGAGATGTTGAACTTATGCCTCAACTTCCGCAAAGATTCTTCAGTGCACAGTGTAGAGTCCGGAGGGTCTGGAATGTCACGTCTAACCCTTACTCTGGGAGCCTTATGCTTCGAGGGTTTNGTAGCAGCACGCATCTCATTCTCCGTAGCTTGTCTGGCCATTTCCGCCAAAGAAACTGCAAATTCATCTTCGAGTTTTGCTCTCCTAAGGTTCATAGCATACACATCATGTTGATCATCCATACCGCGATCTCGGTACCTTGTCCTGATCCGACCTCGGCCCCGA